CACAGACAATGCATGGAAACCTTCAGGGAACAATATAGAAAAGAACTAGAAGGTATGAAACAGATGCAAACAGATATCCAGGAAATTAAAAATTCCATTGAAAGCTTGCAAAACTGCCTGAATGAAGCTGAAGATAGACTTTCAGACCTTGAAGACAGCATTGCCACTAATGAATGTGAAAGGAGGGATCTCTTAAAAACAACAAGAAACCAGGAAATAATTCAATAACTGCAAGAGGCAAAGAAAAACAATGTCAGGGTAATGGGCATTAAGGAAACAGCAGGTGTCAACACAAATGACAAAAAAACTATTTGCAGAAATAATAGCAGAAAATTTCCCAGGCATGGAAAAAGAATTGGACATCCAGATAAGGGAAGCATGTAGAACTCCAGTTAATCATAACCAAAATAAATCTACCCATAGACATATAGTGATCAAGATCCCAGAAACTCAACAAAAGCTCAAAATATTAAAAGCTGTTAGAGAAAAGAAGCAGATCACCTATAAAAGAAAGCCTATCAGAATCACGGCAGACTTGTCCACACAAACTATCAAGGCAAGAAGAGCTTGGAGTGAAGTATTTCAGGTACTGAAAGAAAACAACTTCCAACCCTGATTGATGTACCCTGCAAAATTATGTTTCAAATTTAATGGAGAAATAAAATATTTTCATGATAAAGAACAACTGAAGAAATTCATGAGTGCCAAGCCAATTCTACAAAGAGTACTAAAAGATATTCTAGAAAGAGATAAAACACACTGCAACTTCAAGAACAACAGAAAGGAACCACCAAGCAGGGCAATCAATTAAACAGAGGGAAAAAGGCGCCCAGGCAGCGAGTTCTCCGGGAGCGGAAGGGCTCCTGGGACCGAATGTGGGCTGGACGAATACCACCACGATTCCCAGCTGAAACGCACACAGAGCCAGGTAGGCCCCATCCAATCCCGGAAGCCAGGATGCGAGAACAAAGACCACGGGGACATTGCAGACTGAGTTGCTAGGCGCAGGGAGGCCCAGGGGAAGGGCGGGGCGAGCAAGCCCTCGGAGCCGGCCGAGCAGGCTCCCCCAGCACCCTGCGCCTTGCGCCCAGGCAGCGAGTTCTCTGGGAGTGGCAGGGTCCGAGTGCGGGCTGGACGCATACCACCACGATTCCCAGCTGAAAAGTGTGCACAGAGCCAGGTAGACCCCATCCATTCCCGGAGGCCAGGACACGAGAACAAAGACTCCGCAGATATTACAGACTGAGTCGCTGTGGCGGCAGAGAGGAGATCGGGACTGAACGGCCCAGGGTCTTCTCTGGCTGGGGGCTGGGCGAGCAGGCTCT